ATATTCATATAATTTGTGACTCTAAGATCATACGAACTCATATAAAAATCATCCAAAAACCATACGGAAAATCTTCATCTATGCAATCTCCATGAAAATTTACATTGAGCTACATATAAGATTTAACTATATGATCTTATATGAACACAATAACTCGTACTATTGAGTTTCATTGTATTTCCGCACGCTTATTGCGTAATTCATACAACTTCTGACTCTGTCCTTTGTAAGAGACTGAAGGATATAGTCTCATACAAACTAACGACATACTGAATATGTACGTAGAATCACTATTTTGATCCGATGTTGCATATATGGATATACCCACACCATTGTGCATTTACTTACGTATGTAACTATTTCATTTGAACTTAAGTCTAACATCTAGACACTTAACACAGCTTGGCAAAAGCTGTAGCCTTCATGTTATACCTTATACCTGTCATGTCATTCTATTATCTACCCAGTGAAAAAAGTCAGATTATATTTGATTTTGTGAGATTATCATTGGATTTTTCTGCAACAAAATCCAAATTATAATCGATTGAAATTTTCCAAATCACAAATAATCTGATTTTTAATCAAAAATAATTCTTCGAAATCAAGAATCCCTTAGATTTTAATCAAAATTTTACTTCATTTCAAAAAGTTTTTTTTTTATCTGCAATAATTCTCCAAATCAAGTAAGATTTTGATTAAAATCCAATATAATTTGATTAAAATCTAAAGTATTCCTGATTTCGAAGAATTATTTTTGATTAAAAATCAGATTATTTGTGATATGGAAAATTTCAATCGATTATAATTTGGATTTTGTTGCAGAAAAATCCGATGATAATCTCACAAAATCAGATATAATATGACTTTTTTCAGTGGGTATACTTCCATTATTTTATGCTTGCACCTAAAATCTTAAACTAATACTCTTAGACATATTCCTATATTCTTTTCACGTTATCCTTACTGGCATATTGTGATACTCTTACCTCCATAGCCTTGCATTCTGCATTCGTATTAATTTAACCATTTGACGATACTTGTAAAGTACATTCTTTTGTTATTCCATTGATGTAATTATCAGACTTCATATCTAAAATGCTATGTCGCTCGTTCGAAGTATTGTTTTTTGTTTTTTCTCTCTACTTCTAAGTACCATTTTGTAGCATTTGTCATTTTTGCGTCAAACAAAATTTGTTTCTACTTGGATTCTTATATGTATTTTTAAGAAAAGACATATTTTACTACTATAATGTGAATAACTAATACCAAGTTTAGAAATTTTGGTAATTTCAAGTAAATTGAATCACATCGATAGACACGTGTGTTCGAAGTTTTTTTGCAGATGATCTTGGACAGTCGTAGAAAATTTGTATTTTCTAAGCTAAAGTTTCGAATCTTGTAATTTTTGCAAGATATTTGTGTAAGTCTTTCCATAATACTGAAATAACGAATCCTTATTGGTCTGATGGAAAGGTTTCATAGGATCTTGTTGGATCTGACATCTGAATTGTTCACCTGAATTCGATATGTTCTCTCGAAAGCTTTGTGATTAAATGTGATCGAAAGAAAAAACTGAAATATTTCATATTCTTCATACAAAAAAGCTTTTCATTCGTCTTAATGCATTAGCTGTTTATGAATTATATACAAATCGATGCAAAGTTTGAAACATCATGGATTGATATAAGCCTATATCTACAGAAGCCTGCACCTTATGAATGAGATCTCTAAAAGTTTTTCAAACTTGGAAGACAATTAATTTCATTTTATAAGACGGAGAATCATGCTTTTTAGAACATAAATAATACCTGTTTTTCCTTTCAAAACGTAATGTAATTGAAAAATGACGATAAATCGACATACTTCTTGTATATTGGCGCGTAGAAAATTCTTCTGGACACATTGAAACTTTTTCATATTGTTATAAGTTAGTGTGGCGCATGTATCTTCACCATAGAATCATTCTTTTTCTAAATGAGCTTTTGTTAGTGCATTGACAGATGTAGAGAAAAAGGTTTTAAATCCTTCAGCATCGTTTCGAAGCTCATTCAATGTGTTGTGGGCTTCGCGTGAATGTTGGTGTATATCTATGAAATGCACACATACCTCTTATATAGGGCAAAGTGACACAATTTACACAGAACAGATATAACTATCACACTAGTCTGTTATGCATCAAGATATCGAGAGTAGGTGTGAATGAAGAACATTTATATCCACACCCACACCTAGGGATGGACTATTTAGATTAATTTAAAATTAAGTTTTTTCACTGAACCACTTAATTCATTAATATTTAAGCATTAAATGACCAGAAAAAAGAATAAAGAAATGGAAGGAGAAATACAGAGGGAAAACCAAGCAGAGAATACATCTCGAATATAATATGAACTAATGTAAATGTCACATGTGACTGTTAAAGAGATCATATTGAATTTTGACTATTATGATATTAGTTGAAAAATGGCATAAAATGGTGCAGAAAAATAAAGCATCGTTTTTTTACTATCAATTGAGATAGAAAGGGAAGTTTCATTAAATGTTTTGATGAGAAATTAAAGTGTCTCTGCCATCACTTTTGAATTGACTTGAGTAGCTTTTTATGCTGATTCCAAATAAGACATGTGATTAAAGTTAGACTCGGATTTGTTCTTTTGAAAAATGTCGATTATCTGTAAAAAAAAAATCACAGATTACGTCTCAAGCATAGTAGCGAGAGCAAATTTCTTAAACAGACATTGAATTTCAAGTTCGAAAAAGTGTCATCAGAAAGAGTACATCAAATAACATATAAGTAAAAATATCTCGTTTGTGCTCTCGTAAATCTCATAACTTCATAGGACTGAAAATGCCCTTATTTGTCGTGTTGTAAAACAATCCACATGATAGCTAGCATATATTAGTAAAACAATTTGATTATCTAAGAAGTTCTTATTGCATCGAATAAATCTATTTTCAACAAATCGCCATTGAATTTGGATTAATTTTCATTTATTACTTAACTAGTTTTGAGATAATGATATTTCAAATGACCACGTGTAGTTCTATCGAATTGTATACTTCTAATATAGCCGTGATAATTCTTTTTTCGATAAATGAAAAAAGTGAATGTATTAAAGATTATATTGTG